GCTCTCCTCCAGGCGAGGAGCGGAGTGCTGCTCACGGCAGCCGCATCCGAATGTTGGGAGATTTGGTCCCTGGGGAGTTCTTGTTGCTATGGCAACTGACTTTGAAAGGAAATGGAAAGAATCGGGAGCCGACAGCTCTCAGCGCAGTGCGGAGTCAGCGGGAGCCCGGCCCGGCCGGCCTGCGGCTCTGCGGACTTGTGGGCCGGTCCAGAACGTTCCTGTGGGTGGAATCGACCCTCAAATGGGTTTTCATGGATCATTCCTGGTCATCCCAGAACGGAGACTCCACTCTCCTCCAGGGTGAGGTCCGAGAAGCATTTCCTGCCTTTTGTTTTGCGTGAAATAAAAAGAAAAACTTTAATTGAAAACCCGTTCTGTGGTTTTGTGTTCTGCCTCTGCAGTGGCTCTCTGGCAAGCAGCAGGACAGCGATGTTCCTGCAGAAAAAAGCTTTGAGCCCGTCTGATTTGCTAGTGTCAATGACACCCAAGCTGAAGGAGGCTCTGCTCTGCTCTCCCCCTGCTCTGACCACTGTCCTCTCCCCCTGCTCTGACCACTGTCCCCTCTCCTCCTGCTCTGACCACTGTCCCCTCTCCCCCTGCTCTGACCACTGTCCCCTCTCCCTGCTCTGACCACTGTCCTCTATCCCCCTGCTCTGACCACTGTCCCCTCTCCCCCTGCTCTGACCACTGTCCCCTCTCCCTGCTCTGACCACTGTCCCCTCCCCCTGCTCTGACCACTGTCCCCTCTCCTCCTGCTCTGACCACTGTCCCCTCTCCCCCTCCTCTGACCACTGTCCCCTCTCCTCCTGCTCTGACCACTGTCCCCTCTCCCCCTGCTCTGACCACTGTCCTCTATCCCCCTGCTCTGACCACTGTCCTCTCTCCTCCTGCTCTGACCACTGTCCTCTCTCCTCCTGCTCTGACCACTGTCCCCTCTCCCCCTGCTCTGACCACTGTCCTCTCTCCTCCTGCTCTGACCACTGTCCCCTCTCCCCCTGCTCTGACCACTGTCCCCTGTCCCCCTGCTCTGACCAGTGGCGGGTGCAGAGCTCCTTCTCCCTTCGGGGGCAGTAAGATGGTTCTGGGTACTGGGGGTGAGGTGGAGGCCCAGGCAGCCACTCAATAGGACTGAAGGCAGGGGTCTGAGCTGTACAGGTCGTACTTGGATGCCACCTGTTCTCTTAACGCTTTTAACTGATTTTTTAATTTAGCTAATTTGATTCTCACTTCGGCGCAAAGTCTGCAGTCCAGCAGGGGTTCCTGTCTCAAACAGCTGCAACCCCAGGCCAGAGGGACGAGCTTCAGTCTCTCTGGACCGATAAAGTTCTTCACAAGTCTGTGCGAGCGCTGCTGGACTGAGCCCCTTCAGGGACCGGAGCGCAGAGCCCAGCGGAGTCCGGGGGGCAGGGAGTGTGCACGCCCCAGGATCGCTTTCACAAGCCAGCGGCCTCCTAACAGGCTTGCCTGAGCTCGCAGGACTGCATGTTCCCGAGCAGGCGCGGTTTGGCAGGGAGCTCATCACAAATGCAAAGAGGTAAAGGAATCACTGGCGTTGTCGAACTCCAAGTAACAGTCTGTCCTTCTCTGTTTCTGATGGCTGTGCGGAGCCTTTCATCTGTGCCTGAAATAAACGCATGCAAGTCGCACGCCTCTGATCCGCAGATCAAAGTCGTTGTCCCGAGAGCATCCCCTCCCCTCGTCGCCCAGGTCTGCGGAGCGCTCGCGTGACGAGGCGGACCTGCGACCTGTCCAGCTGCACAGCACAGCTGTGCTCTGACACCTCTGTACACAGGGGCTTCTGCTGCCAAGAGAGCACACTGTTCAGGACTGTTGGACAGGCAAGAGGACAGCGGTGAGGAAATGATGTGCACGTTGCATGGTCCTATTGCTAAAGATCTTGAACCTGCACAGCACTTAAACAATCCCCTACCCATTTCCCATTTCCCTTGAGAGGATCAGGGTCAGGAGGTAACTTGTGTTCAGGTGTGCTCAGATATAGCTTCTTGAATCCTGTCCGGGTCCATGAGACCAGTCAGACCCCTGGTGGGAGAGACAGAGCCGCAGGTCTGAGCCCACACCTCTCTCCCTCTGCTCTGTCCCAGCTTTCCTCAGGTCGCCGAGAAGCAGCACAGCAGAGCTCAGGGCTGGGTGCTTTCCAGCACCAGACTGGTGACTCCTCTCCGTGCCGGAGGTGTCCTCTGTAACTGTAGCCCTCGTCATTACCGGCCCACTTCAGTGAGGCAGGGCTGCCCACTCTGGGCTCATTAACCAGACACTGTCTGCCTATTCAGTCATCAAGGGCCAGGAGCCAGCCTTCATCCCTTCCCTTCCTAAACAGGAAGCCAGAAACGGCTCAGTCTGGCTGCATGTCTAAAACTCTCTTTCAGACGCGCCTGTCTTTTTCCTGCAGGTCTGCTGGCTGTGGGATGTTTGCAAAAGCGCTTTCTGTCAGTCACTTCACAACACCTTTAGATGACTGTCAAACAAGCACCGTGAGTTACCATAAGCGCTGTGGAATAAACAGGCCGTTTCTCTTTTGACAAAGCTTATCGAATTTATCAACAAACTGGTTACTAGATCACCTCTACTGACCTTAAAACCACGGTGTGTGGAGATTAATTCTAACACTTGGGCTCTGTAGAAGCACTCCACTCAAGGACCCTGATCAGCTGTTTGAGAAGAGCTCTTCTGCTTCTCTATGCCCGAGTATCTACTTGCGTCAGCTGAGCACCCGTTTCTCCTCCAGCGCTCCAGCCACTGAAGCTCAACCTCCCCAGCCTCAGCGCAAAAGAAGACCAGCTGCCCAGGCCGGATGTGAAAAGAGCAAAGAGCAGCTGAAGCCAGCATCCTGCCTGTTGCATCAGGAGGCTGCAGGTTCCTGCCTGTTGCACTGTTGCCCTCGTTTCTGCTTGAACGTACATGAGTCTGCAGTGAGGCCAGTGGGGTGAGGATTATTTATTAGGTATAAATAATAATAAATTAAATACTTCTACTCTGCCCGCCCACTGCGCCCAGTGCATTTACTGTTCTTGAAGGGGCGGTGGAGCAGAATTGCGGGTCTTTCTCCAAGGAATCGCTGCAGGGGATGGGAGACAGGCGGGTGGCAAACAGGCATACGGACCATCTTAGCTCCTCCACTCTGAATTCCCGACACTTGTGTTCGGCTTTAATGAAACGCATCTCGCTGCAGGGCTCGGCTCTGGCAGTCGGGCTGCTGATCCGCAGGCAGGGACTCTCGCGCTGCAGTCGTTTGGATTCTCTGGTCTCTGGGCAATTAGATAATTAGATTTTAATGTGTTACTAAGGCAGCGGATGACAGACTCCCCCACCCCCCTGCCGCTCCGAGTGTCGGTATCCGAGAGAGACGCAGAGGGAGACGGAGCGAGCATGCACACAGCCACAGCCTGTAGCCGCCTGCGCCATCGCGCCCGGGGCTGCCCGGCTCTGCTTGACCACCGTCACCAGGTGGGGCCCGGGAGCAGGGCGCCTGTGCTTTAGAGTGACCGCTGCCCTGAGCCGCGATCCCCTGGTCAGGGCAGCTCTGTCCACAGTCTCGGCCCCGGTCAGCAAGGGCCACGGAGATCTCTCGCACTCGAACAGCTTGGCTGGACGTCCTGACACACAGGGTCCCAGACAGCACACGAGGGCCACAGACCTGCCTGCTGTCCAGTTTGTTCTCACTATCCTGCCCAGACCTCGCTCCCCTGCTCTGCGAGCTCGACTCTCAGTGGCATAAGGGCAGTTAGACACCAGAGGAGCCATTCGGCCCATCCAGCTGGGCCGGGCGTTTGTAGGTGACTGAACCAGGATCTCACCCCGCTGCTTCCTGACAGAAACCTGGATAGCGGCTTTAACAATGTGGCCGGGCAGCTTGTTCCACGCCCCTGCAACCCTTTGGGCAAGACGCGTCTCCCGTTCTCCTGTCCTTCAGTTTTGAGAGCACGTCTGGGGTTTGCAGTCCGCTGCCGATGCTGATGGCTGTGGGTCTCTGGGTGCAGGCAGTGGGGTGCTGAAGGACGCAGAAGTGGGGTTTAACGTGTTGAACGTCAGGACACCTCAGGACTGAGGTGCGGAAGGACTGGACTCCGAGTGGCCCAGGAGACCCTTCTGAGGGAGGCAGCCTCCAGAGCGTCACTCAGCCCCCAGAGTGACCCCCAAATCAAGGCGCTCACACAAGCTAAAGACTCAGGAACCCTTCCTTAATCACAGTTAATTAGAGTACATAAACACGAGAATCTTCAAAACCGCTGGCTGACGAGCAGGACGGTTCGCTCAAGACAAAGACGCAACCAGAAGCGCTTCACGGAGCGAGACGGCGGCGGCCGCGTGACACCTGTTCCATGTTTCATGACCTGCGCTGACGTCACTCTTAAAGGGACCTGCGTGCCGCCACACCGTGCGGGGCTGTGGGAGCTGTGTGTCCCGATTTAAACAGAGTTAATCTCCATACCCAGGAGTCCTTTCAACTTGTATTTACTGCTCCTGCGGGGGAAATCTACATAAAAACGGGTCGGCTGAAATCATTTTGAAGCCGGAAATGATATTTGTCAAAGCAGTGTGTAATAATTGCGAACTGTTTCATTTGTGTAGTTCGTTAACGACGGCGCTTTTCTACACCGAGGGAGAGCAGGCTATGGCCGGGCGCGTCTCTGCCTGTCTTCGTTCCTCTCCTGCGCTTTTGCTATATTTAATCTGGAGAGAAGAAACGGGATTCGATTTGTTGCCATAGCTGTGGTTTAAGTTTCCAGGGTAACGGGGGGTAGGTCAAACCAGAGCCGAGAAAATGGGAAAAAGGCGCCTGATCGTTCAATTATGCTTCAGAGCAAATTCTTCCACGCGAGGCGAGAGAACTTTCCGCCGTGACTTGAGCGCTCTGTAACAGTCATAATGTGAGCGCGGGTCCCCACCCCCTGCACACACACTCAGATCGTACATTCACGGCCTCGCCGTCTCTGCGTGTTTCCGTCGTGCACTGTGGATTCCTCCGGGAATCCGTGCCTGTGCGCCGGCAGCTCGCTCGCCGCTGCTGGGAGGGCGCGCCGTGGTGCGGTCTTGTGGCGCCGTGCCGGTTCGGACAGGCCCTGCTGGAGTCCGGGTCTTCAGCAAGGCCGGTTCGGACGTGTTGTGGCAGCGGGCGATTGTTAAAACCCAACTTCTAGCGGGACACAACTCCCTCCGCCAGGACAGTGATGATCCAGAGTGATCGCACGTATTCCGGCTAAACCCGAGATCAGTGTGGAGACGATTCCCGCGTCTTTCTGAGCTGCCTGCTCCATATTTTCGATCAGACAAGCGAGATACCTAAAGTACGCTTGGCACAGCTGAGACGTGTATTAAATCGTACTCTTTCTGCATTTTTTAATAGTGATTAGGCCTGGATGGAGTCAATTACCAAGACCTGAAACAGATTCGAGAACACAAGTGGAAGCACTTCTTTACACAAAGGGGGGCGGGAGTCTGGAACAGATTCCCCAGCCATGCTCTTGGAGTCGATTCCTTGAAATCTTGCAAGAACGGCTAGATAAGATCCCAGGATTCCTAAGATCTGTGTAACGAACGGTCTCTTTCAGTTGCAACCACTTTTGCTCCTGTATTAATAGAGATGACGTACTTTATTAAGTATCTCATTACGCTCTGCTGTGTTTCTGCTTTGGCCAACGGCGTTTCCATATTTTGCAGTTTTCTTTTCCAGACAGAAGAGAATCAAATCCCTGCTCGGTGTGCCATGTTCGTGCATTTGGGATGCTGCGATGAGTTCTCCTACTAGGGGTAATACGGTAGAGCAGAAAGTGTGGGGCTCGCTCTCCCATTGGCTGGGTTTAGTAAACACCGTCTGGCGCGGGTGTATATAAAGGGTGCAGCAGGTGTGCGGCTGCTACAGGCAGGCAGTTGAGTTGGGCTGGGAGCCGCGGACGGACACCTGTGAGCAGAGACCGCAGCCTCGTCAGTAAGTCCCTGGAACAGCCGTGTCACCTGCTGCGTGACCAGTGAGTCCGGTTCCGAGCCTGGAAGCGCCGCACCTGGCCGGATTCGGAAGGCGGATTCTTCGCACAGTTTAGCAGCTCGGGCTCAGGTATGACTCTGGGTGGTGCCAGTTTAGTTGTCCTGTTTCTGGCTCAATTGCGCTGAAATACTCAAGTTTCGGAGTGTTGAAGTCTGATTAGTTATTTTTTTTTTAGTCCCGTAATTTTGCACGAGGGAAAATTACTTTCCCCAGTTATAGGTGCAGATCCAGCATCACCGAGTTCTCCGCTGATCACCCGTTTTATACAGGCGCTGTGAGCGTGTTTTCGGCGTCCGTTACTGGTGCGCCTAGTCAGAGCCCCAGGAAAATGGGTGAGGTGAGAATCTCTGGGTTCGTCTGCAACCCCCGGTCTCCCCTCCGTTCCCCCTCGCTACCTGTGCGCTGCTGGCTCATCTCCTCCGCGGAGAGGCAGGTCAAGTGAATGGCTGAAGAGAACGCGACAGGAGCGCTTCTTGCGATCAGTGTAATTGCTGTGAGACGGGTAAAGGCGACCCGCGTCAATCGAGTTACCTGCGACGTGTCGCTGGTGTGTAACCGAGTTAAACGCGGCTCTAACCCGAGCCCGTGTTCCGTGCGATGGGAATCCTGGAGGAGGGACAGGAGAAACGATACAAACCGGATCGTTCACCGCAAAACTCCGAAAACTCGAGAAGCCAGTTCCCGTCGGTCCCGTGATGAGCAAACAAGCGAAGCGGGTTTCGGGCTGTAGGGAATGTCGTGGGACCGCACGCAGTGTCCACTGGGACTGCTGAGCGGAGAGAACTCTCTCCTTCCCAATGACGACGCCCGGCCGCCAGCTCCGTGTGGCTCCGCAGGAGCGGACCGGGTCAGGCGCGTCTGCTGCAGAACCCTAGCCTTCGGATCACGTCCGGATCTCGGGCTTCCGTGCGCGGCGCGCGTGCGGCTCGGTTATGGCCGGGATTCTCGGAAAGTGAAGTTGAGGATCGATGTCCTTTTTAGACTCCTGCACTGAGCAAGCTGTTTGAATGTGGAGGAACCCTTTTTCACTGAAAGGTCTCTGGGATTTCCGATCGCTTACCGTCACCCTCCACAATACGGCCCTTCTCAAGATGCATCTCTTCACGGTAAGAGTGGAGAGCAGACATTGCGTCTTGCTTAATTCAAGAACCCGCTGTAAAGAATACAAACAAGAGTTTGACTTATTTTTACAGTCGTCGGCAGAAAAAAAGTTTTATATGTTGCCCCCGGGACACACACGGGTCCGTGTTAAATCCTGATCATGGAATACGCTCGCACCTAAAATGAGGTTTATTAGCGAACTTGGATGGTGCCCTTCGCCGCAGCGGGGTGAAGCGCGGGGTGAATTCCTTAAGGAGGGCAGTCTTAGGAATTCGGCCTCCCCGCTCTGCCTGGTCGGAGGATCCTCCTCCTCCAGGACTGTCAGCCCCCCGCGCTAGTGAGGCAGGGCTCGGTCGGGTTCAGCCAGCGTTTCAGAGAGCACAACGGTTTGTGCTTTCACCTGGACCCGGGCTCGGGGGTTGTTCAGAGATAAGGGTTAGGGTTTCTAAGAGTCCTGAACCCCAACAAAGAGCTGGGCGAGTGGGTCAGGGGTCATCTAGACTGTGGGCAGCTCTGCACCCTCGAGTCCTGTCTGAGCCTGGGGTGTAAGAGCAGGTGTGTGGCCCTCCTGCAGGTCTTTATTCCAAGCTGACAAGTAACCAGCTCATTAATAATAATCCATTAATGCTCTTCAGGTGCTGGTGTTTTACACAATGGTCTCTCCAGGACGGGAGACTCCTGTCCGACC